GTACTCTTTCATCTCATGGAATAGCAGCCACTGGGGTTGGCAAAGTGTTTTGTACAATACAATGTCCGACACAAGACTCTCAGTTGACTCCTTTCATGAGGTCAATCACCATTAACCCCATCAGACAGACAGATCAACTCACAGATGGGTCAATGACCACAGAGCAACAAATCACAGATGGTCCTGCTGATAAGCGTGGGGTTGATTGCAGGCACAGAACAAAACATTATGAAAGCAAACTGATGCATAATCAGAAAATATAAACACTACAAAACCTGAAAACTCAGAACTGTGCATCAGTTATGAGGACGCTGCCACCTAAAGGCAGTTGCAGGGTAGTTTTGCAGCTAGGTGTGACTCATTTGCTGTAGGTAGTTAATTAGTCATTGGAACAGTGTTCATTTAGACCAGCCAAAAAATATGCTAATTAATTACCATGTTGTCATCACAGACACATTGATATCCCACAAGCAAATATTTACATAATCATATTGTTGGGCAGTCTAAAAACAATGAGATTTCAGTCTATCAGAGAGGAAGTCATTCTTCAGTGCATTTGACAATTTGACACAATTAGGATGACAAACAACACGGTTGTCATGGCAGCATCCTGGGGACAAGAGGTCTGGAGAGAAAATATAGTTTCACAGTGACTACCGGGAGTGACTGCTCAGGATGTATGGGGGGAACAAAACAAGGTGAAGCATCATTTAGACAATAGAGACAAAAAGATACAGACCACAGAGGTAAAGTGTCATGTGATGCTCATCTTACACACAGCGTGCAGTGAATACTCAGAGGAAGAGATGAGGAGACATCTAGTGGACAACCAGGCTAGTGTGCAAGAAACTGAGTGACGAAATAAGTTAGTGTTTATATATTAAACTGAGGAAATTAACAATATACCCAAACTTATGAGCAAAATTAATTAATCAATTAATTAAAAATTAAACTCCATATTCTGGAATATGATATATAATTAGTATTTTCCATCCCTTCTTCTTTCCTTGTCATCCTAAAATACTTTTATCTCAGAAGGGAATTCTGACATGTCACACTAGGAAAAGCACAGGTTAAAATAAAATAAGCATTTTCTCATACACTGTGTGTGGTGTTTGGACCGGACTCAGATATATGGGAAACCTTTCACTGAGCTCATTGGATCAAGCTAAATAGCACCACCATCAGACAAAATACCAGATTTTCTAATCACAATATGTCAAGCTCCATTTCACCTGCAAATTTTAGAAGCATTTAAAAGGTTCCAAAATAATTAGCTGCAAAGGTTTGGTTCTTGTGGCTGTATTACTACTTCTTATATCTTATTTACAGTCTTTACACTCTATTTGCTCAGTCAGATTAACTTAAAAAACAGTAAAAACAGGTGTATGGGATTTTGGCTTCTGAGACTAGTAAGGTTTCTCCTATCGTACTGAATACTCTGTAAATATGTTTTGTGATACTATTTTAAAAACTAAATAGAGAAAGTGACAATAATTTGAGTAGTCAGTCCTCACGAGACACACGTTTTTTAAGCATCCAGCTGTTAATTCCACTGAAAAGTGAGCGTCGATCAAGTCTTCTTCATTTAGCGAGCAACACACTCTGCAGAATGTACATTATTGTTACATTGTGCTGTTTTACATGGTTAACTTTCATTATTTTCATTAAAATGCCTTCAAAATGTCCCCCTAGGCTGGAGCTTATGAAGGACATGGTAAGTGTGGTTATGTAAGCGGGTGAATAGTCAGTCCAGGTGTATTAATGGATTCTACCCTGCCATAATATGGACAACATTATGAGTGTGTGTGTAAAAAGAAGAGACACTTGATGTTCTGCCTATAGTCCAGGTCAGGCTCTTGTTAAAGAATGTGAGTGAGAGCTTTGCTTTGTAACTCAGCTCTCTCTTAAACTCCTCACACAAAGTCTGCACAGTTATAATCATGAGATGCTTCATTGATCCCTGTGGAGGAATTATCTTCTTACTTGCCTCTTCTAAGAGTTCGAGCTATTTTCGGTAGGCTAGTATGGTTTTCCTACTTACTGTCAAAAACAGCTTTTCTAACCACAGGTCAATCCCTAATTCCAATTTATTTGTTTAGCAGATTATGAGAAACAAATGATGAAATTAAGGTTCCAGGAAAAGTTTAACATCCATTGTTTAGTAAGAACAAGGCTACATTTTGTTATAAGATATAATAATAGATTAAAAAAATGTCCAAAATAATTTATCTTTACAAAATATGCTGCGTTTTATTGGATATTTTGATGTCACAATAATAAACTGATGGCACTCTATTAGATTAAAGGATAAACTGGAATAAATTGCAGCTGTTTTCCTTCCTCTACAGAGAGGACTGCCAACGTGCCCTTGAGCAATACCTCCACCTATAAGGTGTTGCACTCAACCCCAAATGTAAATATAAAACCGCTGCAGGGAGAAACAACAGAGTCTCTCTCTCTTCCTCCCTCCACCGATGATGAATGCTCGAAAAGTAAATGCAATCCCCGCTGAGTAGACCGACGTGACGGCGAGAGGTCCTCCCATGTGATGCGACTGAGGCCCGACGGTGCCTGTGTGTGTGTTATGGCTCCTCCTGCTTCAGCAGAACGGGGCAAGACGTAACACCAGTGCAGGGGGAACAGGAATAACACACAGCGATACGTTCTTCAGGAGCCACGGCTAGAAAAAAAAAAAAAAAAGAGAAAAAAAAAAAAAAAAAAAAAAAAAAAAAAAAAAAAGATGGCAGATCAGTGCAACGCTTGAAGAAAAAGACATAGTGCTCCGAGTCGCCGCTTCTGCTGTGAAAGGGCTTCGACGTTTTCCTTCAAGATTAACAACACCGCAAAATGCAAACTCCGTCAGAGCAAGTAACGTTAGCAGAAGACCCAGGCGAGTGTCGGACGGCCGCGCCCGGTTGCAGCCGGAGAGGAACCACCAGGAAAGAGGTGGGTGAGCCGAGCTAGTCGTTAGCATCGCAGAACAGGGTTGTTTAAAAAAAAAAAAAAAAAAAAAAAAAGCAGCCAGCGTTAGGGGTTGAGCTCCGTTTACTAACACGATTGGACGCGTTTATGCACTGCTAGTGTGCATTGAGTACACGGGTGCAGTGTTGCTTTTTTTTTTGTATGTGTGTGTAGAAACAGTGGAGCGCTAACAGCAGTGTCAGAAGTGTCGCTGTGCGCTCAGGAAACACCGAGGCTTTTGTGTGTGTCGCTAGCATTCAGGCCGCGCTTTGTTTTGCTTGATTTTTGTCCCGAGTCGGCCTCTCTTCTGCTCGTCTGACCTCTTGTCGCTGCTGCATTTTGTTTTCGCCGGCTCACATTGCATTAGGGGATTAAAATGACAAGTGGTAGGCATTTGTTTGCGGTGGTGTTGGGTGACAAACGCGGGGAAAGCGGCACACAAAGTGGTTTTGCCAGTTGTCGTAGCATGCTAACTAACCTAGCCTGTCCTAGCTGTTATTATTAGCACGTTTGGCTATCTACGTCCTGTCGTGTTTCTTTTATCGCCTCTGCAACGTTAAAATGTCAATGCGTGGATATAAATGCGTGGAGTTGGTGTAATAATGACACTGTTGCAATGCTTCACGTCGTGTGTTTTTATTTTTTTTTTTTAGTTACGTTGTGTGGCAACAGACGGTGCAGTGTAAGCGAATACTGGCTGCACATTTTTCAAAGTAAACATTAACAAAAGCTAGTTAGTGATGCTCTTTAATTATAGTTACCACGGCTAAAGGCCAGTCTGGGTGGCACTGAAACGCGATTAGGTTGAACTAGTTACATGTTGGTTTGCAGAAGCATCAATTGAACGTCAGTCAGCAGCAGAGCGTTAAAACACATACAACTAAACTAATAAGATAACTTGATTATGTTCTGCAAATCAATCCTAATGGAAGTCATGTTCACACTAATAATGAATTAGCAGTTTTAATGAGGGATTCTCCCCTTTCTCAATTCATTTATGCAGCCATGACCATGCTTCCTATTTCTCTCTGTCCAGATGTGCACAGCAATGCTCAGTTGTTTTTAAGGGGACATTAAATTAATAAATATAGTGTGGTTGGTAACAGGCAGTATCTCTGTCCATTTTACACATCATACAGTGTATATATTTGCTGTAATGTTGATGTACACATCTTTAATGTGTGTCTTTTAGTCAGACAAGACGAGGTAGAGGAACCTTTACATTATTATTTCAGTTTGCGATTACAGAGAAGTCGCTTTAACTGGCACAGTTAGTCACACAGACCGTGTTTGTAGTGGTTACTGGCCCAGTAGCCGGGGAGAGTCATCCTTGCAACCAGAGCAACAAGCAGGGAGTTTGCATCTCCCATCTGGGGTAGCTATAAACTCATCATGCCTGGTGAATAGCCTTAGAAATAGACCTCTGGTTTAGCTCATGGTTGATGCTATGGTTGTTTTGTTTTTCTCTTGATTGAATTCCCTCTAGATAGGATCTGTAATCAATTCGTGGCATACAGAGCAGGTAATGAACAAAGCTGTTTTTGTATTTTCTGGGTTTTGCTGTGTGACCTGTGTGTTAAATACTGTTTAGGCAATTGCTTTTTACTATTCAATGTATTTATGAAAGTGGAAATTGTAGTGATATGTTAAACCATAAGTTGTATGTACATTGGGTTATACTGTGGATTTCAGAATGTGACTGGTATTTAAAGGAGGGCAGGGTAACGTATGTCAGAACGTAAATCGACTGCATGGAGGTACTCTGTGTATTATGTAGTCGTAGGGATTACTATTGAGTGATACCTCAGGAATATCTATTGCAGACTCACTTTTAAGAGAAGCATGTTTTAAATTCTACATCATGGATATGCTATTGACAACACACTGAAAATGAGGTGACCTTGTATGTATAAGTGATTTTATTTCTTTTTTCTTTGTCCACCGTTTGCAGATGAGGACGTTCCTGCAGATATGGTCGCAGAAGAATCCGGTCCAGGAGCTCAGAACAGTCCCTACCAACTTAGAAGAAAGTCTCTACCCAAGAGAACAGTGTGTCCGACAAAGACAAACATGGAGGTACTTCTATCAGGAATCTCCTTTTTTGAGGTTAAGATTTGATTGTAATGAAACACAATAATTTATCATGTGTTTAAATGTCTCCACTCACATTTTCAATCTACAGGGTGCTTCCACTTCAACCACAGAAAACTTTGGACACCGACCTAAGCGCCCCAGAGTGTCCGGGAAATGTCAAGAATTACCAGGTAATTAGGATCACATTATTTGAGATGTGGATTTTCCACAAAGGTGCATTTATCTTTGTGTTTCCTACAAGTTCTGAGGGGTCATTGGAGTAGGGTTATGGATTAATTACTTTTCTTTAAATACAATGAGAGCAGTGTGTTGACTCATCACTTTTGTCTGTTATGAACACATACTGTTATTGTTACATTTTAAGTTTCACTTTCAGTTTCACAATGAGAGATCTCAAGGAACTATAAAACAGGTTTTAGAGAAACAAAGGGAAGTTGTCTTTTTTTTTTTTTGTACATGACACCTTTATTCTGTATTCACCCTCTAGTCCAGGCTTACCTTTCACTTAATATCAACTTCTTGGATGACAGTCTAGGAAAGGTAGATGTGCACTGGTATCAAGCTCTTTACAAGAGTTGAGATCATCTCTTTACTTGTCTTTGGTAAAGACATGAAGGAGCACCATGAGTTTCACAAAGTGGAAATCATAGTCTGTTATTTGTGGCATTTGGAGTCTTCCTCATACGGTGCAGCTCTGGCCAAAGCGTCTGAAATAGATGTTTGCCCCGTTAGATGGCATTTGGTTCTGGCTTTGTGGTGTCGAAGAAACAGTCACATCGCCTTGTGTTGTGTTCACAGTTGCTCCACATGATCTGCTTTAAAACCAAAATTACTTCCAAGTAACAAATATGATATTTTTCTTCACAATTCATCGTCTCCTATTTTCAGTTGGATGCAAAACCCACAATAGATATATATTTATATATGCTAAACCTGTTTCACCTGATTATATTGCGTTTTTACAGTGAAACGGTTGCAGACGTGTACATTATAAAGATTGGTAAAACTATGCATCATTTAGCTCTAACGTCTTGCAGTTGCAATGCGATTAGATCTGCTGGTCTACTGTGGTCTGTGTTTGAAATTTCAGTTAAAGCCACACTGTTACAGGCCTCCATCCAGGCTGCACACATACTGCACACATACTGCACACATACTGCACAAGTAGGGTTTGTCTATGAATTGAAATCAGCCAGTTACCCCTGAAAGTGAAATGTGAACAATATAATTAAAGTAATAATGTAAATAGGTATTCATTCATTGGCTAGAAGTTAAGTATACATTTTTAAAGCCTAATGGATCAAAAGTTCAGTGTTTAATAACATACCCCAAACTTGGCTAATATGTCCGTTCACTTTCAGGTAGCTGGGCTACTAAAGCAATGCTTACCCAGACAGGAGTAAGAAATGAATAGTAATTAAACTGTTAAAATTGAGAGTGTTGTCTTTCAGCTTTGTTCACATCAATGTTGGATTTTCAACAGTGCAGTAGGACAGTGATAAGGACATTCAGATCGTTACATGTTTTTAATATTTCAAAGGCGCCTTCATCATTTCTGCAGCAATTTGTAGCTATTGTCACTTGAGAGATGGTTTTGGTTGCTCACAGAATCTTACTATAAATATGCTTGTGTGGCTACTGTTGTCTAACCCCAAAAGCCTGTCCTTTTAAAGTATTTTATTCTAACTCCATGGTCATTATCCTCCCAGCAGCTCCAGCAGAGCAGTATTTGCAGGAGAAGCTTCCAGACGAGGTGGTGCTAAAGATCTTCTCGTACCTGTTGGAGCAGGACTTGTGCCGTGCAGCATGTGTGTGCAAGCGCTTCAGTGAGCTGGCCAATGACCCCATCCTCTGGTGAGGACTTGTTGGTGTTGGGGAGGTTTCCTCTTGACCAGTACTTTGAGTTATATGTTATTTGTTGTGCTCCTTTGCATGTGTTTAATAATTAATTAATTAATAAAACAGCAGCTTTAACTTTTGTATCTCACAATATTTGAATCAGTATTTAGTTCAGATGTTCTGAGAGCAGTTACAGTAACAATAGCAAATTGTTCAACTTATTTTAACTTGATGTTGCCTTTAATTTGCTTTAAGATGCTTTGTGCATCTATTTTGAAAGCTGAATTAAGTTTCTAAGGAGTTTCCTTCAAACCCACCATACATTTTGTTTGCAACATGTATTGAAAATAAAAGTGCATATGAGCGTAGGGCAGCTGCATTATTCAAATTACTACAATTGTGAAAGGTACCCCACCCATCCCATCCCTGCAACCCAACCTTCACAAAATCATTTAAAGTGACATAAACATCACCAGCAATGTTTTACTGGGTCTGTAGAAGAGCTTCTATATTGTAGAAATTCTGACACAAACAAGAGGAAGATGGTGATAATCGCTGTTGTGCTTTCATATTTCAGGAAGAGGCTGTACATGGAAGTTTTTGAATACACGCGACCCATGATGCACCCCGAGGCAGGGAAGTTCTACCAGATAAACCCAGAAGAGTATGAGCAGCCAAACCCGTGGAAGGAAAGTTTTCAGCAGCTGGTACGAAACCTCCTATGGGATCACTTACTGATTGATTGTGACTTCATATTTCATTATGAAGCAAATGAGACCCTGGCACACAGCTGTTAGAACACTGCACGACTCTTTATGGTTACCGCGGCTTTTAGGTTCCATATGTGTCGTAGCATTGACTTTACACTAGAAGAGGCAAATGCAGTTTCCAAAATTAGATAAAACTTGAAAGTAAATTTATTGCAAAGTTGAAGTATGTGGGATGCAACCATTAAGCATAAGTTGCTTCTCCTGTACACACAGCAAATTCTGGTACAGTATTTGATCAGCTTTTTAAAAGGTAGTGTTGAGGAGGCATAAATTAGACCCCTCTACTTTCTTTTAATCTTTGTCTGTATTTTTGTTGCCAAAAGTTTCTTCTGTGCGACTTTAAATCCTCCTGTGTACAGACAGCTAATGTCATGTGAAAGGGCAACACCACAGGCCATAATGGTGACATTCAGTATGAAGGGTGTAGAAGAGAACTATGTGTTTAAATTATATTCCTTTGCGATATATTGACCTTTAGGATTGTTATCTGTGACTTTTCCCTGCAATGTCTGTGCAATGGGTTTGTTGTGTCAGATTTTTCATTATTCTGTTTTTAAGTGTGTGAATAATTGAGTGATTTTCTTTTTTTCTTTTTTCTTTTTTTTTTACAGTATAAAGGAGCACATGTTAAGCCAGGTTTTGCAGAACACTTCTACAGTAATCCTGCCAGATACAAAGGGAGAGATAACATGTTTGTAAGTGAACTTTTTCCAACATTTTCATTTTTTTTGCCCCCCCACTTTAATACTCCAGTCATTCACCTGACTCATTATGTTTTCTCCAGTACTATGACACCATTGAGGATGCTCTCGGAGGGGGTCAGGAGCCTCACTTTGACGGGCTGATATTCGTCCACTCTGGTATTTACACAGATGAATGGATCTACATTGAGTCGCCTATCACAATGATCGGAGCTGGTACGTGTGTCTGAAGTCATGGTTACAGTTTCATTGTGCATTTGTTTGGTCTCTTCTCTAATTGAACCTTTCTGATTATTCTGTAGCTCCTGGAAAAGTAGCAGAGAAAGTCATCATTGAGAATACCAGAGACTCTACATTTGTGTTCATGGAAGGCTCAGAAGATGCTTATGTTGGATACATGACCATTAGGGTGAGATGACCTTTACTCTTTTTTTGTAGGTTCATGTAGGCCATGTCCATTTTTTTTATTTAGATGACCTAAGTGATTAATATGAACTCACTCATTGTGGGTGAAAGCAGTTGTTGATAACCGTTTGTGTCTCTGCTGCAGTTCAATCCTGATGATAAATCCGCCCAGCACCACAATGCACACCACTGCTTGGAGATTACGGTCAACTGCAGCCCAATCATCGACCACTGCATCATACGCAGCACATGCACAGGTAATTCTGCTGCTCCTTTGTTCCACTTCAGTGGTTCCCAACCTTCAAAGGAGTCACACAATAAATCTGAGGGGTTGTGAGATGATTAATGGGATAGGAAAGAGGAAAAAACAAAGTTGTGCAAAAAAGGTTGGATCCACTGCTCTACTTTATGTTGATACACTTAGAAACAATGTTGTGACCAGTGGATATGTTTGAGCAGGTTTTACACGATAAAGAAGATATTTTGACATCTTTTGTATATTTGTATATCTACTAATAAATCTGTCTGCTTGTTTCAGTGGGGTCAGCTGTCTGTGTCAGCGGCCAGGGTGCTTGTCCCACAATCAAGCACTGCAACATTAGTGACTGTGAAAATGTTGGTCTTTACATCACCGACCATGCACAGGTAATGCACACCTTTCACCCATGCTGTGTTACATTAATATTTGAGCATCGGCATCTGTATTGTACAGTCAGTCTTCCAACTGCAATGTACATGTAAAGTTAAAATAATAGTATAATAAATGAAAATAGACTAGTAAAATTAACTTTAAAGTGTAAAGTGGACATGAAAATGTTGAAAGCCTTGAACTTAATCAACATTGATCATTGTTCAGGGAATATACGAAGACAACGAGATTTCAAACAACGCTCTGGCTGGGATCTGGGTGAAAAACCATGGCAACCCAATCATCAGACGTAATCACATCCACCATGGAAGAGACGTGGGCGTTTTTACATTTGACCACGGCATGGTAAGCTACATGGTGTTTGGCTTGTGTTCAAAACAGTGTTGTAGACCATTCACTGACAGCCGCAGTCATTTTTCTTTAATGTGGAATGGACACAGAGTAATTATGTTTTTCTCTGCCCATTTCCAGGGTTACTTTGAGAGCTGTAATATCCATAGGAACCGTATAGCCGGCTTTGAGGTGAAGGCGTACGCCAATCCAACAGTGGTTCGCTGTGAGATCCATCATGGTCAGACGGGGGGCATCTACGTGCACGAAAAGGGCCGCGGCCAGTTCATCGAAAACAAGATCTATGCAAATAACTTTGCTGGGGTGTGGATCACCTCTAACAGTGACCCCACAATAAGGTCAGTGTGCTGGACGCCAAAGGTCAAATACTGAATAGAAAGTATCATGTAAAATGTATCAAATTGGACGCTGGTCAATGCACAGTTGTATCATGTCCTAAATTGTGTTGTTTTGTCCAAATACAGGGGCAATGCCATTTTTAACGGCAACCAAGGTGGCGTTTATATTTTTGGTGATGGCCGAGGCCTCATTGAAGGAAACGACATCTACGGAAACGCCCTGGCGGGAATTCAGATCAGGACGAACAGCTGCCCTATTGTCAGACACAACAAGATCCACGATGGCCAGCATGGCGGCATCTATGTGGTAAATACTTTCAAAACATACGCAACCATTCAACTCATGAAGTTACACCAACTCAAGTCTTTTTTACAGTAATAGTCTCATATCTTGGAATGTTTTCACTTCTTCAACTTATGCTATAATATGGAAACGCAGCAGTGATGTATGGTGGTTCTGTATCACACAGCATGAAAAAGGACAAGGTGTCATAGAGGAGAACGAGGTGTACAGCAACACGCTGGCAGGAGTGTGGGTGACAACGGGCAGTACGCCAGTACTGAGGAGGAACAGGATACACAGCGGGAAGCAGGTACGATTACAGACTACAGTTACAAGTTTAATGATGAGAAATCAATGTAAAGCGACAAACCAGAGACAAAGAGGCTGTTATTGGATGTGATGTAGTTACAGTGCCGTATATAAACACAAGTTGTAATGTTAAACTAGTTATCTAAATAAATAAAAACAATCTGTTGTTTTATAGGGAGCCCTGTCATATAGAGTAGCTTATAAAATGCATTTTATTACCAGGAATAAATGAATGTTTTCACTGCCTTTTAAACAGGTTGGGGTCTACTTCTATGACAATGGCCACGGCGTGCTGGAAGACAATGATATCTACAATCACATGTACTCTGGAGTTCAAATTAGGTATGTGGAAAACAACAATAATATGGAAATATTCACATCTTAACATCTTAATAACACTGACACATAATTTGTCTCCATTGTGTATTGTGAAAGTTTTGATAAATAAGTCATGAAGGTCCCAAAGAACTCAAACTTTAGTCAGTTGTCTTGATGTTAAGATGGTTAAGTAGGGAAGGACATGCATTCAGCATTAGTGAAGCGGTGGATCAACTTTCCCATGTGTCCTTTTTTTGACAGGACTGGCAGCAATCCTAAGATCAGGCGGAACAAGATCTGGGGCGGCCAGAATGGAGGCATTTTGGTTTACAACTCAGGTGAGAAACAAGTTTTTTTTTCTTTTTTCTATTCTTATTAAAAGAGTCCAGATTGCCCTTTTACTCCACTCATCTACTCTACACTTGTCAGTGACCTCCATTGTTGATGTTCTGTTTGACCAGTGTCACAGCAGTTCTTCCTGCTGGCCTAATAATGAAACATTAATGTGGTTTTCAGGCTTAGGCTTTATCGAGGACAATGAGATCTTTGACAATGCTATGGCAGGAGTGTGGATTAAGACGGACAGCAACCCCACTCTGCGGAGGAATAAGATCCATGACGGGAGAGACGGTGGGATCTGTATATTCAACGGAGGAAGAGGTAACTCATTTATTGAAAACGGGGGGTGATACTTCTCACTTTAAAGGAGTTTCTTGTGAACAAACACAAATTGTTAACCACAAAAACACCTGTGTATCTTTGGGGTCTAAAAAAAAATCCCTGGTCCAAAGCGTCATTCCAACACTGCAAACTGTTAAAAATTGCACAAAATGAAATCAACAAACAACAGGAATCAACAAAGAATCAAACTGATAATGGCATTGGTATCAATAAAATCTTAACATGTCCCATCCCTATAACAGCCACCTATAGATCAGTGGAATAGTGTGACACCTTTGGGTAGGACTGTTGGCCAATGTCAGTTTATAATCTTTGGCAACGCAGCCGTGCACTGTTTGATTGATTGAATCTCTAAACATTATTTCAATTAGGCACTCTAAGCTATTTGTACTGTGTAATTTTCACGTCAGAGGTTTTGTGTAATTAAGTTTGTTTTCTGTCTGCAGGTTTGTTAGAGGAAAATGACATCTTCAGAAATGCCCAAGCAGGAGTTCTCATTAGCACCAACAGCCACCCCGTACTGCGGAAAAACAGGATATTTGACGGCTTCGCTGCAGGTGGGTAACACCTGCACACAGGCTGTAATCTGTATTTAAACACCTTTTACAAAAATGTCTGGTAAACAAACAGTTCTTAATGAAGTACAGTATGCCTCGGTAATGGGAACTAGCAGCTCTCTAATATGGATTGTTTTTTTTTTCCTGCTAGGTATTGAGATCACCAATCATGCCACAGCGACCCTAGAAGGCAATCAGATCTTCAACAATCGCTTTGGGGGATTGTTTCTTGCATCTGGTGTCAACGTTACAATGAAAGGTACTCTCTCCCGGTCACAAAAAGATTGTGACACATTTTCTTGACAAACCTTGAATTTCCTGTCGGTAACCAATTTCTGCTCTTCCCTCCAGATAATAAAATCATGAACAATCAAGATGCCATTGAAAAGGCTGTGAGCAGAGGTCAGTGCCTGTACAAGATTTCAAGTTACACCAGCTACCCAATGCACGATTTTTACAGGTAATTGATGTTTATATTGGCCACAAAGGTGACTTGAATAACGTCAATTGTTCGCTCTGCGATCATTAACGGACACAATTTGGGTTCCCACAGGTGTCACACCTGTAACACAACAGACCGAAATGCCATCTGCGTGAACTGCATCAAGAAATGTCACCAAGGACATGATGTGGAGTTCATCAGACACGATAGGTCAGTCTCATTGATCCTTTATGAATACTAATGATTTGATTTCGATGTAAACAGATGAGAATACACATTGACATTAATGGAGTTGAACTAAACTTATTTCTCCACCTGCAGATTCTTCTGTGACTGTGGTGCAGGGACGCTGTCAAATCCTTGCACGTTAGCCGGAGAGCCGACTCATGACACAGACACACTGTATGACTCGGCTCCTCCTATAGAGTCCAATACACTGCAGCACAACTGAGCTCGAGACCCGAGGTCCTCTTGCGCTTCAGCAGTAATGGACATAAGACACTTTAAGTTGTGCAGTGGAGGAAGTCCAAACTAAAATACAGATTCACTTTGACAGAGCATATACAGTGACTTTAAAAAAAAAAAAAAGAAGAAAAAAAAACAGACTTGGGACATGATTATGCTAAAAGGAGACATTTAGAAAAAAAAGTCTGATTATGGATGCCTCGCTTTTTCTTTTTCTTCAATTATGTGACAAAAAAAGATGACATCACTTGGACAAAGCAGAAGAGCAGCTGACTCAGGGTTTGTGGGTGTGTTGGTTTGGTCAAGTAAAGCGACACCGGTGAGAGACGGACAAAAAGCCACCGAGACTCGTCTGCTTTTAAGAAGAGCGAGATACTGCAGTCATGTACAGACCCATCGTGGACAGACGCTCAGTCAGAAGAGGCACAATTTTTGTCATGAAGCAAAGGCCCCAAATACAACAATGCTTCCATCACTGGGCAACCGACGTGCTCGTATGATAAATACGGGAAAAATGACCTAGCACTTCAGCTTTTTTTTTTTTCCTCAAGACAACTGTTGAGATTTGATTTTAATGCTTTTTGTGTAGTTTTGTATTTTCATGCAAAAATCTTACTGTACTTGAATGTCTTTATTTTATTAAATGTGTTCAATTTTTTTTGGTTATTATACCCTAGAATTGCTGTAATTATACATGTCGCAGTATCTAACTTCTTTCTGTGAAAGAGATCAGAGAAAAGAGAGGAAAACACTAAACACTTTCTCCAGCAATGTTGACTCATTTATATTTGCAATACAGAAAAATAGATGCTGAAATGTGCTTTCACAAGACTTGTGTAGCTTTTTCTGTTTTGAATAGAATCTTTAAATGTCTGTCTTTGTAAAGGAGCTGAACAGTAGTGATACTTCAGTTTGTTTTACATAATCTATGCATATTTTTGTTTGTTTTCTGTTTGTATTGGCCTGTCCTGTAAAACCTAGTTTATAGGAAGGACTAATAAGTTACAGGGCAAAATAAGACATTTTTACTAAAGGTTGCAGTTGTTTAACAATTTAGGGGTGTAGTTTAAGCCAGATGAACCCATGGTATTCTCAAGACACTGCCTGTTCTTTACTGAATAAACATTTTTGGTAGGGGTCAGAGTATTATCATTCATCTGTTAGGAGATTGTCCAAAGACATTTGGATTTCCTGTCATTGATTTCAGTCAAGTAGATTATATAATCTATACATGTCTTGCCCTGTGTTAGAATCAATGGGGTTGCCTTCTCTTCAATATTGGGCACAAATGCTGCTTCTCAGACTGTTAATATACACAACTTCATTTTTCACTTATTGGGTCAAAGAAAAAGAGACAGGGCTTGTGAAAGCACAGCTAATTTTAATGTTTTTCCCTTGTTTGCCAATGTTGCTGGAGAACTTAAATGCTTTTACTCTACTGAAGCTGAGACAAGTATCTATATACAGCGCTATATGGTTTCATTGCCCCCTCCCTTCCTCCCCTTTCATGTGTACTGGTGATTGTGGGTTCTCATACAGACTGAAATGTATGCATGTATCATAACATCTAGACTTAATATATTGTGAAGTATTCAATAACCGTTATGTAGGCGCTAGCGTGAATTAAAAGGGTTTAATTTCCTAGATGAAACATTGTCATTTTTTAAAAATAAACTTTATTAGATCATTACAGTAGTGTTTTTTCCAAGTGCTGAAAACAAAAACTCAGCAAGAACAAAGCATGTTTACAGAGTGTTTACTACAGTGTGTTGAGCATCTGAACAAGTGAAGCAAAGTGTGTGTTGCCCAGTGTACCACCTTCAGCAAACTGGCAGAGCTTCCTGCAAGAGAAGAGAAGAGAAAAATCAAAAGTAAGCTTTGCTGTTTATTAATACCAAGTTTAAATCTTTGCTTTGGATGCAACTACCGGTACAGAATTTCTTAGCCCTGATACAAATACATACTTGAAGAGTCTGAGGCTGATTGTGTTCTTCTCAAACTCTCTGGCCTTCCTGTGTCCTGATTGGATGACCTCCTCTGGCAGGCTGGCAAGTCGAGCAGCGTTAAAGCCGTAACTTTTTGGACAAGCACCGGTGATGAACTTGTAGAGGAACGTGATGGTCTCTTGACTTGGATCCTCACACTCGTTCTCCACCATGCACGCCTAAACAGTAACAAAACAGGGACATTATACTTAATAGCAGGGCACTACATGTTTTCTGAATCACGTGTTGTGCTCTGCACAAAAACAGACAAAATGTTACTTTACTGCACTGCAGCTTTTATGAGAGCAACGGTCAAACAACACAACCTGCAATTATTCATTTGTGCACATAATAGAAACTTCAGTTACACGTTGTGGTTAGAGCACCCACAATGATTGCACCAGGAAAGCAGCTGTGCTCGAGTGTAGATGTGCCCACAAACTACTGAATTCATTCTCTCAACTTGAACTCTTTTGAGTTATTGCTTTCGTTCCACTTGTTGTTCCCTCTACACAGTCTAGTACAGTTTAGATGCTGCGTTGGGACATTGTTTCTGCACTGAAGTCAAACTCTGGGTGTAGTTTGTGTTTTTCCTGTCGAACGCAACGTTGTGCCACCTACACAAACATAGTAGGATATGGTTTCTGCGGTGTTGATTTGACAGTTTGGAACAAATGACTACCAACCAGGCTCTGTAAGAAACCAAGAAATATAACTTCTACTGTTTCATTGAGAGAAATAAACTTTATAACTGAATAGCAGTGAGTGGATAAGAAGTTATCTACACAGAAACACGACTCCACTACATATAAAGGAAAAACAGTCAGCTTTTAAAAACAAATCCACAATACAGAAGATATTTCCCTGTTTAACAGCCTTTTCCATTTTTCGGTCCAGAAACTGTCTGCCTGGCAGTATTTAGCGTGTTCTGCATTGCTGTACTCACCATGTGGCCCAACCGCACAGCATGGTTGTTGGCGTAGTCCTCCACCAGGGAGTGGTAATGTGTAGAGAAGAGCGTGCGGCAGCAGATCTTCTCAGCAAGCTCCTTCACAACCGCACTCGCAATCGCTGTGCCATCATATGTGGCTGTGCCCCTTCCTGCAAACAGTTCACAGCTGAATGGTTACACCTCACAAAACAGTGCTGAGAAGACAGCCTCTGATGTTCACAGTTACTATGAATAACCCTTAATAAGCAACACCAAACGTACCTAATTCATCCAGGAGCACAAGCGAGTGTTTGGTGGCATGGTGCAGGATGCTGGCAGTTTCACTTAGCTCCACAAAGAAGGTACTCTCTCCTAAAGAAGACATATTGGATAACAGAAGCTTAGCCCATGAAGTGGAAGCTTAATGCATTTCCCCATGTGTGTTACATTAAAGGAGCTCATGATGTTACCAGCCATAATACGATCCGAGGCTCCCAGCCGAGTGAAGACCCTGTCAACTGGAGTGAAGCGCAGGCTCTCAGCGGGAACATAGCAACCCAGCTGAGCTAAAATGATCACCAGTCCACACTGTACAAAAAGAGCAGAACAGTATCTCAATGTGGGCCAACAGACACTTCAAAGACCTGTGCTGTTCACATGGGTGTGCATTACTTTCTTCCTTCTGTTAACTTTCACACACATGGAGAAAACATCTTCAACTGACCCACCTGTCTCATGAGCGTAGACTTTCCGCCCATGTTTGGCCCTGTGACGAGGACGCAGGAGGCATCACTTTTTTCCTCATCACTTTCACCGCTACCAGGGCAGCCAATGTAGATATCATTGGGGATGAAGTCGTCGCCAAAGAAGGTCTTGGTGACACAAGGGTGGCGGGATCCAGTGAGGTCAAGGAAAGGCACTGCCTGGTCATCACCCTCGGGGAGTACCACCTCTGGCCTGGTCATTGGCCCGTCCCCACCCTGACTGTAGCGCGACAATGCCAGCAGCACATCTGAAAACCATTGACAATTCATTAGTAATAAAAAGGTAAAGAGGAATTAAGTGGTTCATCCTTAAACATATTATTGCTACCTGCTTTCTTAGGATTTTATGAGATGATTTTGCAGCGCAGCTCTTAAAATTAAATAAATAAACCTGTGGCTGAGGGAAGGCCCAGCTTAAGAAAAACACATTATAAAGCACATTATGTTACCGCACCAGAGATCAGTAATAAACTATGCAATTATCTCTCCCTCACAGCAAACACCAGTGCATGATTTCCATAAGAATGAAGAACTAATTACTGTCAGCTTAGCCAAGTTTTAAATGGAATAGGTGCTTAATGATGGCACGATTTTTAACAAGCACTCTGCTGCAACATCATCATCTAATACACATTATGGATATATATCAGTAACATCTGCAGGAAGTGTATTGAGAGCAGGCACCTGCAATGCAGTTTAACAATTTAACACAATTACGCTCAATTTTGTACCAACACTTTAAATGTCTCACGTGACAAATTTTAATGATGTATGCTGTAAAAAAAATAATGCTGATTAACGAGAACAAAGGGCATGTAATTACCCAGCACTGCCATGCACTCCACCCCAGTCTTCCAGTCTCTGTAGTTCTTGTCAAAGTTGTAGAAGAGCCTCCTCATGCAGTCTTTCAGGGCTGCATCTCTCTTCTCCTCAAATCCTTGAAGCTCAGAGAACAGCCGCTCGGTCTCCTTTGTCACGTAACGCTTCCAGCCTTTCTTCGTGGATTTCACCTCGTACTCCTCAGGAATATTCCTCTCTGAGACACTGTCAGGCACCTCCATCTGGTAGCGGTTTCGCCCAGTTCCCCAGTAGGCCATGTTTTTACAGCCAAGTCTCTTCTTCTGTCTGTCCAGGTAATCCTGCAGCTCTCGTTCACAGTTCTTGACTCCGGTCAGAGCCTGGTCGTACTCTGGGTCAAAGCCTGCTTTAGGGGTTATGACACCAGTAGTGCGGGCTTTCTGGTGGTCGAAGGCCGTCTCCCAGCGCGTGAGCTCAGCAGAGAGGTCAGGAAAGAGCCCTTCCTTCTCACTTTTCACACTGACAACTTGGCGGAGCAGTGTGGATCGAGATTCGCCAGAGACTGGAGCGAGCACAGAAATGATCTCCTGCATAGTTTTGAAACCCTCCAGTGCTGAGAGGAAGTCTGCTATCTTGCGCTTGCTGTAGGTGACCTCCTCATACAGAACTGCTCTGCTGTCAGGATGATCCTGGCTCTTCATGGTGCCGATGCTGTGGATTTTACTCAGAAGACGCTCCAAATCTGGTAGCTTCTTCAGCAGCTCTGAAACCTCAGTAGCCTGGGCCTGGGCTTCCATCAGGTCCTCCACTGCGTCCAGCCTGTCTTTGATGGATGTGGGGTTACACAGAGGAGCACAGAGCCACTGCTTCAGCAGCCTCTTTCCAAACGGGGTAGAGCATGTGTCCAAACGCTCCAGCAGCGTCCCTTCTGTTCCTCCAGACCCATTCTGAAAGATTTCCAAGTTGGCCAGAGTCACTCCATCCAGGACCATCCGCTGACGAGTCTGGGCAAAGAAACTGGCAGGTCCCGTGGCTTTCTCCATCTCAACATCAACAGGGACATATTCTTCAAAGTTGGCCATGGAGAGCAGCTCTTGGTCTACCAGACATTTCTTCAGGTAGAAAATGCATCCACCCAGTGCTGAGAGTGCCAGCTCATAGCCCTCTTTAGGAGTAAGGCACAGAGAATCACTCTCAGAGGTCATCTCTTTTAGAAGAGCAGGGAGATAGTTGTTCCCGGTCCCCTGATCCTTTCCAGCAGTCTCCCTGAAGTAATCTTCTTCTGAAAGCGTTTTAAGGGTCTTCTGTGCATCCCAAAACTGGGTGCCTGCACTGAGTCCTTCCTGCAGAGCAGAGGACAGAGAGGCCTTAAGTATTTTGCGCGTTTCAACAGAGGGGTTGCCTTTTTCAAAGAGCACCTCGGCTGGGGCAAAGTGTGCTATCAGGGTGCGCAGTCGTGAGCAGTGACGATCGTCTGGGAACTGACCAACATGGAAGTAACCCACAGAGGTGTCTACGAAGCAGACTCCATAGGTACGACAACGGCCAGAGCTTTCCTCTTCAGCCTTTTCCTTTAAACTGAGCAGGAACTTGCTCTGACTCTCAGAGGGAGCACCGTCCAACACGCTGTAGGTTTGAGTACCGCGTGTGATAATCCGGCACACCTCTCTTCTCACCACGCGGTCAAACTTTGTGGGCTTAGCCATGGCCTTACAGCGCGTTTCCATCATCTCTGGGGTCTCCGTCTGCTCCACACGGGCCACCTTGTAGCCTTTCTGGACTAGAACATCTGAGAACCGTCCAAAGCCGATCTCTGGAAAGCCTGAGTGGGCCCAGTTCCCCTTCATGAAAGTTAGTCCCATCTCATTGACTCCGATCACGGCATCCATGTGGTACAGCTCATAAAACTTCCCCACCTTGTAGAAAATGACCGTATCAAACATCTTAGATTTGAGCTGCCACCACCGACGCATACCGGGAGTGTTTTTGTTTAGAAAGTCTTCTGGCACGTACAGGGTGGTAGGATCGTAGCCATCCTCGGACTGCCGCCGCCTTCCGCCATCTTTCCTCCTGCCATCCTGCAACCACTCTAGCTTCTCATGGTCCCAAACTGTGGCGCCTCCACCGGTGCCTGATCCGTTTGCCTGGCTCTCAAAGTTATCCGGG